TAAATCGCCCAGACCTTGTGCAAATAATTCAGGGCAGACAGTTTCTATCATCGCAGAGAGAGACATCGTAACCCCAGTGCTCGGTCTGACAGCCTCCTGTCGAAACGACCCCCCGCCTGGAAAAGGCTCGACGGGAGCCGCTCCGCGGATCCAGGGGTGACCTTGCGTAGGTGCGCGAACCAGTGAACCGCTCTCCTGCGCTCGCCCCACGCTGCGCGTGCGACTTTCCTTCGACATTCTTGGTGCGACGCACAACTCCCTCTTCAGACGCTGGCCGTCTGTCGGGCAGCCCTCGGCTGACCCGAGAGGGGGGCGGGCGTCGTCGTTCCCCCCCCCGATCGAGCGAGGGGTCACGCGAGGTCTGCCTGTCAGCTCTTGTGCCTCGGAATCCGCACGCTGTGCGTTCCTTCCGCCGCTCCCCCCTGGGCCCGTGCTGCGGGGGGCGGGTGTGGGTGTGTGTTGGGGGGGGGGCCGTGCCGTGGGTGCGCCGTGTCGGTGCTGTGCCGTGGTTTTTGGTGCTGCCGGTGTGGTGCCGTGGCGTGCCGTGCTGTTCCTTGGAGGGCTTTGAGTGGCCTTGAGACCCCTGTCCTGGCTGCTGGACAGGTTTCGTCTCTGGGTTTTGTGGGTTGCCCCGCGCCCCGGCCCGCTCTCCTGCCGCTTGTCTAGGGGCGCGCTCGGGGAGGTGTTCAGGCTCCTTTTCTTTTTGGGCTCGCGTGGGCGCGGCCTTCTTGTGCTCAAGTTACGTTCAGCGGCGCAGCGGACCCCGTTCAAGTGTGACGCCCGGCACGCTCCAGCCCGCAAGAGGCGCGCCAGGCCGCGGCCATGCCACCCCGGAGACGGCGCCGCAGCGAGCATGGGCGTAATGAGCGCCGCAGCCGCAGTCGGAGGCGACGCAGCAGCTCCAGCAGCAGCTCACCCTCGAGGCGCCACCGTAGCCGCGCGAGGCCCAGGCCCCGCAGGTTCCAGTACCCCTCGGGCCACGGCCACAGGTCTTCCAGCTCCAGTCCCTCACCCCCGCCGGCAAGTGGTGGACCGCCGAGCGGGGTTGGAGGTGGCGATGCGCTCAGCCCGCGCGGGCTCCCCGCAGCGCTGGGGGAATTCATCCCGACGTCCCCGCCCCCAGGTAACTCCAGCATCCCTGGGGTGACAGGTAAGGCGCGGCCGGCGGCCCCGGCCCACGCCTCGGCGCCTGGCACCCCGCAGTCCGCCCGTAACACCAGCTCGACGCCGGCGCAATGGCTGGGGGCTTCGCCGGCGCCGGCGTCGCCACCGCCGCCGCCGCCGCCGCCGCCGCCGCCGCCGCCGCCACCACAGGAGGAAGCGCCGCCGGCACCGTGCTCCCCGACTCCGGCTGTGACTACTCCCCCCAGGAGCCCGCAGCCCGCTTCCCGGGGGCCGCCGCTCCTAAGCCCCCCGCCATTGCCGGAGGGCTGGGAAAGCCGGCGCGACCCATACAATAGCCAGCTCTACTTCATTCACACGACCACGAAGGAGAGCCGGCGGGACCACCCGGCCGCGTCGCAGGCAGCGCCGCCGGTTGCCACGGACGCGCCCCGTGCCCCCGCAGCTTCGGCGGGCCCCGTGCCCCGTCCCCCCGCAGCCACGGCGCACCCCGTGCCCCGTGCCCCAGGTGGGGGCGCCCCCGCAGCAGTCGCGCCCAAGGCTGCTCAGGCGCAAACGCAGGCGAATGACCTGCGTCTCCTGAAGGACTCCCTCGCCAAGCTCCAGACCGATAAGCCGCCCTGGGAAGCCTTTTCAGGTGAGACGGGCCAGCGCCTGTGGATCCATAAGGGCACGGGCGCCAGCCAGACAACTGAGCCCCCTGAGGTTGCGGCGCACCTAGCTCAGGTTGCCGGGTTACGTGGTCGCCTTGCTATACTTGAAAGCCGCGCCCCCGCATCGTGCCCGCTCCTCGGGCAGCCGCCTGCAGCGTCTACGCGAATCGATCCCGAGTCGCGGGCTGTACTGAAAGGGAAGCTGGAGGAGGAGGCAGTGGAGCAGGCCCTCCTCCAGGAAGCCCAAGCTACTCCACGTGGAGTTCAGGCCCTCGCCCTTGTAGCGCCGCCAGGTGGCGCCCTAGCTCCTACAAGCTCGCCTGCAGTCCAGGACCTGCTCACCTCGGCCACGCTGCGCACCCAGTCGGACCTCGACTCAGCCTTGGGCGCCTAGCAGCGCCAGATGCGTGACACAGTAGGTGAAAGCAAGGACGGCAGGGTCAGCGTCGAGGCGACGTTCCTTGTGGGTTCCTGCTCCTCCAAAGAAGACCTCCACCGGCTCGTTAGAGACATCGGCGTCACCATCGCCCATGGCGACACCCGCGCGCGGAGCCCCGCGACACCGCGCCCGCCGCCGCCGCTCGCATTGGTGACTGGCGACTTTAACCAGCCAGCTTTGGAGGTAACGCTCCGGGTGAGCCCCTTAGCCAAATTGACCATCCAGCTTGAGAACAAAAGGAAGGGCCTCGTGAAGGTCAAAGGAAAACGGTCTGTCTTGGAAGCGAACGCGGAGGAGCTGCTCATGTATTTCGGGCCGCTGGCGGGGATCAAAGCCGCCACGCCCCCTGCGCAGCACGCTGACGACGCTCAGCCGGTCGTGCGCCTGTCGGCCAGGGAGCGCCTCGCGGGCGCCACAAGGCCCCCCACCTTCCAGTAGAAGAACGTCACTGTCGGGCGTCGGCGGGGGCCGCTGGCTGCGCCCCCCGTCGGGGCAGGGGAGTGGCAGTTCCGTTTTCCCCCGCATGTCCTGTGCTCGTCGTCCCGTGTCTTTCCCCTCCTGCCCGTGCCCGCCCCTCCTGCCGCCCCCTTATGATTATGCTTTCGCTGGCTGTGCAGATCCGTGGGCGGGAGTTCCTCCGCGATGCCTTGGGAAAAAGATAATTATCCCGGCAAAGCAACCTAACAGCGATGTGTAGGAGCATATCTGGAAGCATGCCCTTTAAGATTCAGATGAGAACCCTGTTGTAGAATTCTGCTGTTCTCGCAGTCGTAGTCGCATTCGCGATGGCAGTCGCAGTGGCAACGGCAGTCGCAGTCACAGCCTCAGCCTCAGCCTGCCTCAGCCTCAGCCTCAGCCTGCCTCAGCCTAAGCCTGCCTCAGCCTCACAGCCTCAGCCTGCTTCAGCCCCAACATCAGTCTGCCTTCAGCCTCGGCCTCAGCCTCAGCCTGCCTCAGCCTCACCCTGCATCAGCTTCAGCCTCAGCCTCAGCCTGCTTCAGCCTCAGCCTGCCTCAGCCTCAGCCTCAGACTGCCTCTGCCTCAGCCTCAGCCTGCTTCAGCCTCAGCCTCAGCCTGCCGTCGGCCTCGGCCTCAGCCTCAGCCTGCCTCAGCCTCAGCCTGCATGAGCCTCAGCCTCAGCCTCAGCCTGCTTCAGCCTCAGCCTGCCTCAGCCTCAGCCTCAGACTGCCTCTGCCTCAGCCTCAGCCTGCTTCAGCCTCAGCATCAGTCTGCATTCAGCCTCGGCCTCAGCCTCAGCCTGCCTCAGCCTCAGCCTGCATGAGCCTCAGCCTCAGCCTCAGCCTGCTTCAGCATCAGCCTGCCTCAGCCTCAGCCTCAGCCTGCCTCAGCTCAGCCTCAGCCTGCTTCAGCCTCAGCCTCACTCTGCCTTCAGCCTCAGCCTCAGCCTCAGGCTGCTTCAGCCTCAGCCTGCATCAGCCTCAGCCTCAGCCTCAGCCTCAGCCTCAGCTTGCCTCAGCATCAGCCTGCCTCAGCCTGCCTCAGCCTGCCTCTGCCTCAGCCTCAGCCTCAGCCTGCTTCAGCCTCAGCCTCAATCTGCCTTCAGCCTCGGCCTCAGCCTCAGCCTGCCTCAGCCTCAGCCTGCATCAGCCTCAGCCTCAGCCTCAGCCTGCCTCAGCATCAGCCTGCCTCAGCCTCAGCCTCAGCCTGCCTCAGCCTCAGCCTCAGCCTGCTTCAGCCTCAGCCTCAGTCTGCCTTCAGCCTCGGCCTCAGCCTCAGCCTCAGCCTCAGCCTGCATCAGCCTCAGCCTCAGCCTCAGCCTGCCTCAGCATCAGCCTGCCTCAGCCTCAGCCTCAGCCTGCCTCAGCCTCAGCCTCAGCCTGCTTCAGCCTCAGCCTCAGTCTGCCTTCAGCCTCGGCCTCAGCCTCAGCCTCAGCCTCAGCCTGCCTCAGCCTCAGCATCAGCCTGCCTCAGCATTCAAAATGTGGCCCGGGAATAAGAGTTCTGGGAACTCGAAGAACACGAAGTGGCCTACAGTTGGCTCCGGGCATTCAAAATCATGCCCAGGAATGGAGTTCTGGGAACTCGAAGTGGCCTACAGTTGGCTCCGGGAAATGGAGTTTTGGGAACTCGAATACCACGAAGTGGCCTACAGTTGGCTCCGGGCATTCAATATGTGTCCCGGGAATCGAGTTTTGGGAACTCGAAGAGCACGAAGTGGCCTACAGTTGGCTCCGGGCATTCAAAATGTGGCCCGGGAATGGAGTTCTGGGAACTCGAAGACCACGAAGTGGCCTACAGTTGGCTCCGGGCATTCAGAATGTGGGCCCGTAATGGAATTCTGGGACCTCGAAGACCACGAAGTGTGTAACCGCTGGCTGGAAAAAATTCCTGGCACCCTCCCCCGGATCGCGCCCAGACCCCCCTGGGGCGTAATGATGCTTTCTCTTGACCCGACTAGAAACCTATCAATCTTCGCTTTTAAGTAAACATAAAATAAGCACTATCCCGGCAAAGCAACCTAACAGCGATGTGTACAAGCATAGCTGAGAACATTGCCTGTGGTATTCATGTAAGAGCGCTGTTGTAGAATTCTGGTGTTCTCGCAGTCGCATTCGGATTCGCAGTGGCAGTCGCAGTGGCAACATCAGCGGCAGTCGCACTGGCACTGCCAGTAGTTGCAGTAGCAATAGCTACACTAGCAGCAGCAACAGCAGCAGCAGCAGTAATAGTAACAGTAGTAGAAGTAGTAGTGATGGTAGTAGTGGTAACAGTGAAGTAGTAGTTGTACTGTGTGGAGTGAACGAGTAGGAGTGATGGGAGCAGTG